AAACAAGGATACATTAGTGTCGTCTTCCGGAATTTGACATGTACCCGGAGTGGGTTTTAGGTCACGCTATCAATATTAATAGGAGGCGGGGCTATCGATCAGTGTCATTGTTGACATTTCTCTCTCTCTCCATCTCTCTCTCTAGAAATTTGAATACGTGTTTGGAATATCACAACGATGTCATTATGATTTTTTTAAAAATGTGCATGAGGACACGCAAAATAAAAACAACATTTAATGTGCTAAATTCTGAAAACAGCACCAAACATAGTGATTTACATCTAGGTCAGGTTGAAGAATACAATGTAACTGTTTCCGCGAGTACACTCGCAGGTGGACATCACGTGATGAATTGTAATATTTAACAGGTCAATCGAAGTCGTAACAATGGAAGCGAGAAGTTTGTTTGGAACATGTTTTTTGTTAAATTAAGTGTCAGCGCACGTTTGTCAGCTCTTCTCCTTTTAATATGACATTATTTTGTTCAATATACAACTACAGTTTTCGTAAGAATAGCCGACAAACATGCGCTGACTATGTATTCAGACGGTGAAAAATGCGTGACCCTGATTATCTATTGATATTCATCAAATCTTCAGGCACCATGCCTTCGATATTTATTTAGTTTACCTCGAAAAGAGCATTTTAAATTCACATCCGTACCATAAATACACAGTTAAGATATCGGGGGTTTATATGATGGAAAAAAAATTAACATTTTATGGAACTTAAATTTGCAGCATTTTTTCTGGCTAGTTAAGTCCACCCATTCTTTATCCATTTGTTTGGTACTCTGGGCTATCGAACAATGAAGGAATTCTTTCTTATGCCAGTGTCTACAATGACACTGGACATTTATACGTTCTCACCCGGAGGATCTGTCTCCACGTCCCACAGTGGATTTGAACCTGCTACCTAATTATCAGCTCCGTACTCAATGACCTAGACCAGACACTCTAAGCACTGCCCCATGTGGGAAACTATAAAGTTTTATTACAGGACTGCTAACCATAATACATTTACAGTATACAATATAACTCAAAATTATTATCAGTGACAGATACCACTAAGAGATTTCCCACTAACCTCTCCAACAGTTGCCGTCATCAGAGATGGATTAGTTTTAAAATGTGTACAATCTCCCTGTAACTTGTATCTTAGATCTGGTACACTGGTTGTATCTACTCCATCAAGAGTCATTGTCACTTCTGGTGAAGCATCTCCACTCCTGCAACATATAAATTCATTATTATTTCATTTCCATAATTATTATTTCTTTTAGGGTTTTGATAGTTAAGAAATAAAAATCTAAATTCATGCGTCATAAAATACTTGCATATAAATATGATTTTAGATTCAGAGTATATATAGTGACAAGCACATTACATGTATTTGCTTTATTTTTACTCTTGTGATAAAATCATCAAAATTAAACTAATTGGACATGAAATGGTTAAGACAAGAGGTCCATGGACAACGATGTTCACTTGAGTTACCATGGCCCCAATGTTCTTCACCAGAGCTACTCCATTATAATACCTACCATTGTCACATCCTACCACCCAGGGTTCATAATTAAAACAACTTAGAATCTATAGTATCTCGAAAGATTCCACATTATTTTCAGCTTTTCTGGCCCAATGGTTCTTGAGAAAAAGATTTTTCCTATATATAATTTCAATATTGTACTTTGGTTTTCTATTGTGGCCCCACTCAATTAAGTCTGCAATAAAATGTAACATATACCTACATGCATGTGTTTGCATTGATGCCTAAAAATTGGGGACCATTTTATTCCAACCTTGAAAAATTTTGTTGTGCGCTATGATCCAACATTTTCAATTCTGAATTTGAATCATGAACCCCCACAGCATCACATTTTGTTGACAGGTATGCAAATGAACATTTTATTTTTTAGTTATTTACTATATGAGATGTACAGCAAAACTCATTTAGTACGAAAATGGATGTTGCGAATTCACAAATACAGTGTAGGGAAGTTATCTTGGATCTCCAGCTTTATAAATTTAACTTATTCCTTTAACCTTAATAGGGATATAATGAATTACGGATATAGCGAAGTAATTTCATGGGTCCCAGTGACTTAAATATGATCAAGTTTTACTGTATTTTTATGTGAGTAACTGATTACCTGTTTAATTAACCAATATCTGCATCGTTCGACGGTTAACACGTTAACCAGGTACACGTTGCCAACACCAATTTAAAACTTTAAATGTTACAAGCTTAACACACACTCACATTGAGTTCAATAGGAATATCCTGCTGAAGAAGACCAGAAGCTGACAGAATTCCCCCTCCACTCCATGTCTCCCATGGGAACTCCACTCTCTGATTAGGTCAGAATAATACTCAACATACTCCAAAATAGCTGTATGCCAAAAGCTAAAAAGGTGCCTATAAAAATAAAAAATCATTTTACATAGATTATGTCATGTTTATCTGTAATTGTTTATTTATTCAGCACAAAGTAAAGTATTCATACATGCCTTGCCACTTACTGCATTACAGTGATAAACAACATATTTCTTCACCTCCCAAGTGAAAATGAAAGACTGTAATGAAATCATGTTTCATATTAATCTCAGCGAAATGGGTAGGGACTAAAATTTTGGTCAGATGTCAGACCAAAATTTTAGTCTCTACCCCCATCTCGCTGAGATTAAATTCATACCAGGAGAGATTATCGAATGATGAAGTAGATCCTTTTGCCGACATTTCATCTTTAATTTTTGCAATTGCTTGTAGACATTTTTCGGTTTCTTTTACAACAGCAAATGGACTCAATGAATCAATATCAGAAAATTCTTCATCTACATCTAAGCTCTGCATGCACTTTTTAGTTGATTCCACCAGAATTTCCTTAATCTCAAGAAGTTTAGTCCACAACTCAGCAAGATCTTCGATACCAAGTACCAAGTACAAGTCTTTCAGGGCTGATTCATATAAATCGGCTAATTCTGTTGCTTTGTCGTCATATATGATTCCAAAAGATTCTAATTTACTAATATCCCATTCTGATACACGGTCTTCACAAAACCTAGCACATTTCACTCGGGTGGTATAACTGTCATCACTCTCGTAAGTCTGTGAGCTTGAGGATGATCGGGTGCACGATGTTTCGGCACCGCGACGATTCGGCACTTCATCGCAAAGACGTTTCGGCACCCCGATGTTTCGGCACCGCGACGTTTCGGCACTTTTATATGACGTTTCGGCACCTCGATTTTTTTTAGAAGAAAATAAATCGTTTTTTTTTCTAAGTCTGTTTTTGTTATAATTTTTACATCATATTAAATAATATAGTAAAAACTGGTTTGATAATTTATTTATAAGGTGAATTTAGTAAAACTGAATTGCTTTTTTTCAACTTATGTACATGTGTTTGTAAACAAGGCATGTTTGGTCTTTCAGATCAATTACAAATTTTTAAATGTCAAAGTTATTATAAAATTGTCAACAGAATATATTTTCAATGAGAGTAGAATAATAAAGGTATACCTAGCACACAGGGTATAATCCGTAATGTGTCAAATTCTTGATGACAGTTGAGGGGGGTAAAGAAAAATTCGAGTAAATTCAATAGTGCAATGTGTCACTTTTCCCAATACACAAGATATAACGCAAGGTGTCAGAAAATGAGGGGCCTATATGAAGGATTCTACATGATTTCAATGTATCACTTGTTTCCAAACATCACCAGAAGAAAACCAGAAATGACAGGTATGTAGAAATATATATCTATTTATGTTGCAATATAACAATGCATAGCTTTAAACTTGATTGTATTTTGTGTTGAAACTTAAAAATAATAAAACGCTTGATTAATTTGAACTGAATATATAAAAATATATATCGTATAATTAAAAAAAGAGTATATTTTACGAGTATATATTATCATGCTCAAAGGTATTACATGTATTTTTAAATAAGATAAATTAATTTGTTGAAAATGCGAAGGAAAAAAACAGCTGCGTGGCAATGATATTTTTCTTGATAGAAATATTTAATTATAAGGTTAGACAGTGTACATTAAAAAAATAAGATATGATTGTTTATGCATGCGATGAATTATATAGTACCGTAATTTTCATGAAATACTCAACTCTTTTACTTCCATAGAAATGAATGACATAAATTAACAATTTAACATTGATTACAGTAATATTTTATAGACGTCTGCATCATAATAATGTCATGTGGATTTTTTATTCAAATAATTACAATTTTCTATAAGAGATGAATATAGTGATCATTTATCAAGTGTGCTGCATCCGTATAATCTTTAAGTTTTACTGCTTAATTATACGACCTCATGTAGATTTCTGTGAAGTCTGCTGCTGTTAGAATTTATTGCATATACAGTGTAAGTTATCACCTCAATAATTTCCAGTTTGGCAGTAATGTGTTAAGTGATAATTAAAAGCTGAATAGATTGATTAATGCATACAGAAAGGCAGGATTTTGAACTTGTCAAGGTTTCTCAAATATTTGATAAAATCTGGTATGTTCATTATAAAGCAAAATTAGTCACATACATATAAATCTTGGCTTTTTTTTTTTTTTTTTTTTTGCAGGACCGTACGTTCTTACTAGAAATACATGCAATAATTATAATTTAAACAACTAATCCCTATTATATAAATCATGGAAAGAAATATATTTTTTAAAAAAAAATACGCATCATAATTTTTCAAAGGATATATCAGAGAACTTGAAAAAAAAAAATTGTCCGCAAATCCGACATCATTAACGTTACACAACAATTTTGATAACCCATTTATCAAATGGTAATGTTAGAGAAGTTAATGCTTGACTTTATCAATTCTTGTTCTTTTTTAAATATAGCTGAATTTACCAATCTTTTGTTTTGCCTTTGATGTTCAGGATATAGAACGCTAAAGTACGATTTATGAATCCGAAAATTAAGTGAAAATTTAGGATAAAACATATTTGCCTCCCCATATATAAAAATATTTTTTGAGAAAACATTTAATGCAAAATCTTTCCCATGATATAAGCTAGGTTCCGTGCTGATTGAAAATTAGTTCTTTTTAAAAATACACATTGTGTCAAAAAATTTTAAAGCAAAATATCGTTACGGTTTCTTTAGCATGGGATTAAAAAAAAACTTCTTAAAATATATATCGCAACCTTTTAGGAGCTACATGTACTAGTATTTTAGACTTGGAATTCCATCTTGAAAGTAAACTGAATTCACAATAATATACGAGTACGCAGTGGAAAAAATTTCCAACATTACATTATGTATATTTAAACTCAAAGTTTTTACAAAAATATATAGATTTGTGATGTTCTCAGTTTATCAAATTTTTACTTTTCAGACAACTGCATCAGCTGCAATACCTTTGTTCGACCAAGGCAGGAGGCACTTCAATGTGACAAATGTCAACACTGGCAGCATCGAACATGCAATTCTGGTAAGAATTTTAAGTATTAAATCTAAATTATATGCTGCTGGGATTATCAATTTAAAATTCAAAATCTTATACACCGTAAAATCTAATCAAGGTATAATTCAACATTTTCAGGCATAACCAGAGCTGAGTACAGAAGATTAGTGCACGGCCAAGAAGATTTTGATTGGACTTGCGAAGGTTGTTCCAACAACTCAGAGGTCCCATCGCAAGACGACGAAGACGATGTCAACAACACATCGGAAGCTCCAGATGCCACTTTCCAAATGTCCCTGACTTCCTTGGTGGATCGGGAGAACACATCGGAACAGGTACATTCAATATTAACGTGATTAAGAATGTAAACGTTAGATTCCAACACTCCACTTGTTCTATACATTACAGTTTAATTAATCATTTTGAAGCCTTTTATGTTTCTTTTTGAAACAAACTTGAAGAGTTGGTGTACACGAGTTAGGTAGAAAAATAATTAATAATTTTAGCACACGGAGGATGAAAGAGAGGAGGAACCAAATGAGGACAACACATCAACAGCCCCAGCAGATGCCACATTTCACATTTCCTTGGGTTCCTTGATTGATCCGGAAGACAGACCTGTGGTGGATCCAGAAGACAGACCTTTGGTGGATCCAGAAAACAGACCTGTTGTGGATCCAGAAGACAGACCTGTGGTATAATTTCATTTTATAGTATCAGTATTATAAATGATAAACATTAAATTATAATTATGAATATTAAATGCATCGGTTTTTTTTTTTCAAAATATATTATTGTATCAGTCTTTTATTAACATGTAACAATGTACACTGCATTAGTTATATTATACATGTATGAATATTCAATTTTATTAACTATTATTTAGAATCAGCAAGAGGACCAGTCCTTTGTAGCGGACACATCTTTCGCTGTTCCTGCTCCCGTAAACGAGGATTCTATCAGAGAGGAAGTCATTGGTGACATTCCAGAGGAGGATGAGGCTGTGGTCGCTGAATATGAAGTGGTAGACACAGGAACCAAACGGGGCAAGAGGAAACTGGTCGACAACCGTGGATTCCAGTATACTATTAAGGTAAAAAAATGGTTTTACACAAAAGAGGAAACATTTTTTAAAATAAGAATTTATGCAATAAACAATGAAAAAAGCTTTAATATATGCAAAAACTAATGAAAACATTGTTTCTACATATTTTTAAAATTCAACTTTAAACTTTTATCAGAAGCAGAGAGGAGATGGATATTTATATACAGACGGACTTGCTCGATTCCCTTATGGAATATGTGTGGCGCCAGTGGCTGAATAACCCCACCTTTCCTGTCAGGAACTGGAGTGTGTTTATGCTCGCCATTCGCACCAACAACGATGTAGAGGGATGGCACAACAGGCTTAACAGCAGAGTTGCACAAAGAGGTCCTGTTCCCTTCTACTTGTTGTTGGTGGAACTACACAAAGAGGCAAAACAGATCCCCCTACAGGCAAAGTTGATCTCCGAAGGGAAGATGGTTCGCATCCATAAGAAAAGGTCAACTCATGTAAATGGTAAGCTGTTCGCTGCATGGAGGAAGTATTCGGAGGGGGAAATGACCACCAGTCAGCTTTTGCGGCGTTGTGCCAATGTGTATGGACCAAGCGATTAAACTACGTATGATCCTTTCGGAGATCAATTTATATTTGTATATATATTTATATTAGGGATGTCAAATCGGTCAATTTTCAATACTCGGTTACTCGGACGTTTTTCCGATCGAGTACCCGGGTACTCGGTAAAAGTGTAAATAAATTTCAACAAGTAAATTGAAGACTGTAAAACATTGTAAACTCTTATAGAAATAAAACCAGATGCACTGATAGGAGGCTTATCCGTAAATGTATTTCTGTTGTAATAAGACGAAATTTAATATAACATTTTTTAAAATTCAATTTTTTCATCAGATAAACACAAGAAATAAAATCATAAGTTGTTCACAGTGTTTTTGTTAAAAAAAAAATCTGCTCCGTAATTGTAATGTAACTTTTTGTCGCGTTTGACGACCAGGTATCAGTCGTCAGAGCTACGCGTGTACGGTATCAACTTGAACTTGATCAAGTTCTCCTAACAGAGCGGATTTACGATTTTCGTACACTTTTTCGATCCTAGATTTTTAGAATATTACGGGACGGTATTTTGTAGTTTGGTGCAACGATGGACATCAGTTTTTTTGCAAGCCTTTGCCTTTAACCAGTTGTATTGGCATGTAATCAAACACAACCATATCAACAAACGCACGTGTAATATCATCCGCTCTTTTCCCAAGAATTTACGGCTTCTCGGAGAATTCACAAAATTATCTAATTTATTAAACATAATGGATCTTAAACGATGTTCAGTGAAAACAAATAATTAAAGCCTAACAAAAAATAAGGGAGAAGACAGCTGAAGGTGAGAAAAGTCAGGTACCCCAAGTGCTTGGTCACGATAATTACTGTATAAACACTGCCACAGGCAATAACGGTCATTTAGAGTCGTAGTAAAGTGCAATGAGCATTTTACGTTTTAAAACAAATTGTTTAATGCATTAATAAATAAGCTAAGAAATATTTAAAAATATACATCCGAGTAACCGAGTACCGATTTTAGTATTCGATACTCGGACGTTCGATCGAGTACCCGGTTAACCGGGTACTCGTTGACATCCCTAATTTATATACAATGCATCTGTATGATAGAGTGCCATGTCAAATACAATGTTTATGTTATAGTATCATTTATTTAAATATTATATGTATATTTTATTAAATCAATTTTTTTTAAATATGACACACAAATCAATCGTTTGTGTTTTCTTTACTTCTTATCAAATAATATTTTTTTAATGAAAGGGAAAATAAATAATCTATCCTTGTTTTGCATGAAATAAATTATCTGGATAGAAAAAAATGCCAGTCCCCCTAAACTTACTTCTGACTATATGTACAGAAAAAAGTTTATAAAAGTCAATTTACGGTTATGAATGAAAAAAAAATTCTGATGCATTTTTTTAACAGCTGTAAAAGACAATCACATACTAATTAAAATATTCCTGTTATTAATGTAATAACCCATGGTAGGATGTGTACGTATTTAATAATACCTTTGTGTAACACTAGATGGGTTAAAAATCATAAACAAAACAAGTGCTTGTGCTGTTCATGTATATTATCAGATCTAATAATTTTGGATAACTTCATCGAGGCTTCAGTATTTAAATATTTATAAATAACTATCATAAAATGATTACCAGAATGAAAATCAAATGTTTATTTAACCATTCAGTGTTTAAAAAAACGTAATTATTCCATTTTACTGTAATACATACCCATTTTAACTTGGTAGCAAAATCCTATCTTTCAGCTCGATTTCCAAGAGTTACTTATCACAATCAGAAAGATGATTTCAAACAGACCTATTTCCTAATAGTAATATACAACCACAAGTTATATGGTGTTAAACTAATTTTTCTCCACAATATAACTCAGTATAACTCAATATTTACATAGGTGCCGAAACGTCGTGCTTAAGGTGCCGGAACGTCGGGGTGCCGAAACGTCGCGGTGCCGAAACGTCGTCGCAGGTGCCGAATCGTCGCGGTGCCGAAACATCGCGGTGCCGAAAAGTCCAGAATTCGGATGATCTTCCCCTTTTCCACCTTAATTCCGATGCTAAAGGAGATGAACAGGGTGATGAAATGGAGTTTGAAGAACCAGATGAATCTGAGGAATTAGATGAATCGTCCATTCTGCATCATGATCCTCCAAAATGAAAATTTCTTTCGAATTATGTTGTTAGAATTTTTGGAATCTCGATCCCGAATGGGAAGGTATAATGCCCTGATAGTATAATGCCCTGATTGATCTGATTGCATATATTTACTAAAATAAAGAGTTTTTATGTGCATAAACAATATTATTTTTATTGGAAATTGTGAATATTAACATTTTATCAAAGAATCATCAAGAAAATGCCAAATTAGATATTTTTATTTAGTTTTATTTGACAGAGAAATTGACAGGAATATAATGTCCTGATTTTAGGGTATAATGACCTGATGACCTGATAGTATAAAAACTTCTAATAAACCCAACCTAGCAAAACTTAAAAATTACAATTTGATTTTATAACTTTTAAGGATCATATATAAAATTAGTTTAATTCAGTGTGGGCTAAATTATCTATTGTATATTGTTTAAAAATCGCTTTTAAAGTTTGCAAGGGGTATAATGTCCTGATTTCTGAGTGCTGCAAATATGCAAAATATTTATGTGTTTTAAGAATTAGGTCTTCGAGAGGTATTTATGTGATATAAATATTTTTTAAGTATCAGTTAATTAATAAATTATATTGTATTCAAAGCCATTTGAGTACAGTTTAAATAGCTACATAGCCTAGCCCTACATGGAAACCACTGTATGCATAAAAAAGAAATACATATATTTTGAAATTTGACAGGTTTTTTCTAATATCATATCAACATCATAAATGACATCATTTTCCAAAAGTGAGCAACTAAAGTAGACTTCGTTTTCAAAGAATATTATTTTCTTACTTACATTGATCAGGCGATTTCACTTGGGGTGGGGGGGGGGGGCACACCAAAAATAAGATTTTGACAAAACCCCCAGTAAGTAAGATAATTCCATAGGTGTATGCAAGCATTGAGTGTACATCTGATTTATTATATCCATAGAATTTAATTAGTTTCCCAGATATCCCTTATCTTTAATTTTTTTTTGGGGGGGGGGGGGGCGGGGGGTGAGTTTTTTTTTCCTTGTCGTTTCGTTATCAACCATTTCTGAGTCATAGGGTGTTTAGCTAAACTTCCCAAAAATTGCCAATCTACGTCCACTTTTCACTTACGAGCTCCTCAACTATTTTTTTTCTGGATTCAGTTCATCTGTCTCATTTTTATGAACATGCAGTAAAAGCAAATTGTTTGTTCGTATTTGACTCATTGTTGATCTCAGTGATTTTTTTCAATCTTTTCAAGGCGCCGAATGAGCCCTAACTGATAGTGTACGTTATAGTTGCGGGAAATTGGTTTGAGAATTTTTTGCATCTAGGCAAATTGACTTTTAACATACTTCCTGCACTCAATATTTAATTATTGTACTGTCTTATGTCTGATTAACTATATATGAGCCTCGTCGGATAGAAATCACCAATATCATGTATAGGAGGCATGTAAAATGGGTAAATGTTGTACTAGTCTTATCTACTGTTTTCCTATCTATATGTTGCTAACAATCCGCGGTTTATGTTTGGGAACTTGTGGTTTCGAATCCAACCACTACTCATGATCAGATAATCACAGTAGTGAATATTTGTATGGTAAAACTTTGTTTTTCATTTGAAAGTCTGAAAAAATCAGCCACACTTGATATATATGCAGGGGCGGATCCAGCCATTTCTGAAAGGAGGGGTTCCATGGTTGTGCCCCTGTAACGTTGAATTTTGACCCGGGTTGAAAATTGACCCGGAGGTCATTTTTCAACGTTGAATACTGAGACGAAAGGTGTTGAATTTAGACCCTAATCCGTTGAAAACTGAGCCGGGTCGTGGAATTTTGATCATGAAACCGGTTCAAAATTCAACAGCATAAAAACAAATATTTATGATTGGGTTTTCACTACTGTGATTTAATTCATAGGTATGAGGCCCCGTTTTGGTATTTACTGCAAAAAGTAAAATCCCCTATTTGAATACGTGATATCACCTGTTCCAATAGATGATATCACCTATTTGATTTGAATTTGTGATATTAACAATTCGAAAAGGTGATATCACTTTTTCGAATTGGTGTTATCGCCTATTCGATTGGGTGATATCACCTTTTCCCGTCGAACAGCTGTAGTTTTTTTTTTTGGCTCACAGATTAATTTATTTCACTTATAGATCATGTATACAACAAGAAAATCGTAGAAAACGCATGAAAACTGGGTAGTCCGAATTTTCTTGGTTCCAGTGGTAATCTATATATTATAGGGAGCATTCATTAATGACTGTTGTAAGAAACTCAAATAGGTAATATCAACTTTTCGAATAAGTGATACCACTTATTCAAATAGGTGATACAACTTATTAGTCCCCTACCGGTGAAACCGGGGGGGGGGGGGACTATAGGTTTCCTCTGCGTCCGTCCGTCCGTCTGTCTAGCTGTCTGTCTGTCTGTCTGTTTGTCCGTCTGTCTGTCCCCGTCAGTCTGTCCCACTTGGTTTTCCGCACTTTTTTTCTAAACGCTTGCAGATATTGAGCTGAATTTTGGTGTGTGAGTGTATCTTAATAAGTTACAGATCAAGTTTGAATTTCGCTTCGCTTCATTAATTTTTGACAGAATTATGGCATTTTGAATATTTTTCATAATCGTTTAATTAAGATCGGGTTCGAACTGCGCTAACTTCCGATTGTCGACAAAAATATGAAGCGAGGAACAGACGATGGAGAAATGAGTTGAATTTTCGTCTTAATGTGGATTATTTTATTAGTTTTAAGGCATTTACAACTTGAAAATCTTTCAGTTTTACCTTGGACATGACTTTTTCACATTATAAAATGATCTCCTGAAGAAAAAGGGGAACCCGGTAGGGGACATGTATTGCTAATGCAATACTCTCAGAATGCTTGTTCTAATAGGTGATACCACTTATTCAAATAGATGATACCACTTATT